CCCCCCAAACTTAAAATGGCCCACTTTCATCCCTTGACCGAGGTTTGGTGACCCACTTTGCCCCCTGCTGTCAACTCCATCCAAAACGCTGTTAACTTTGATGACGTGGCAGTGGTATTTTTTAAATTTATTTTAATTTTTAATTATTAAAATTATTTAATTATATTTTTATTTATATACAAAATTACAAAAACACCCCTGCCATGTCATCAGATTTAACAGAGTTTGAATGGAGTTGACGGCAGGGGGCAAAGTGGATCACCAAACCTCGGTCAAGGGATGAAAGTGGGTCATTTTAACTTTGGGGGGGTAAAGTGAGATTTGACCCAAGTTTCAGGGGGCACTACAGTAAATAAGCCTTTAAAATAATACATTGATTGAATTGCCCCTTCATAACTAAGTTTTAAAATTTTGACAAAAATTGATGATTGTCTTTGAATTGCTTCACATTGAAACCACAGGGACAAAATTGACCAAATTAAATCGACATGAACCAAAGTGGTAAAAGTGGCAAACTATAAGAACCAAAATTGACTTTTTGCTAAATTAATTTTGTTGGAGAACTAATTAATTGATTATGTAAAAGTCTCTCCTTCTCACCTAGAGTCGTGAGAGTTTCCAGAGTTTGGGAGAAAATTGAGTTTTGTGAGAGAGAGTCCGAGATTACTGTTTTGGTAATGTAGTTGAGTGTATGTCACTGTGGGCGGCTTTATTCTCTTGGCTGGGTAAGAGTTTTGATTGTCTATTTGCTGCCATGGATGCGATTGTGGACAAACTTACCACGCAACTCAATGTCACTGAGGATGAACACATGCCTATAGTAGTTGAGCGACCTATTGGAAACAATAGGCAAGCTCCACATTTCTTCTTAGTTGGGAGGCTTCTCGCCTTGAAGGATTTTAAGGTATAATTCTTTATGAGGACTATGAAGAAGCTTTGGTCGCTGAGCATCTCCAACAGACTCTTTATCATCTCATCCCTAGCTACTTTGCCTAAAAAGAAGGAAAATCCTCCTCTAGCAGACTCCCTATTTGGCTCTCTATTTTGGAGAACCAACTTTTGGCTCTCTACATCTGGCAAGGAGGAGAGAGAATTTGGCTAGGAGGAGAGAGAAAAAGGGAGAGAGAGAGATAGAGACATTTGGTAGGTTGGTGGGGTTGGGTTCTACTTTTTTTTAATAAATATATTGGATTTGCAAGAGAAAGAGAAAATAATAATAAAATATTTCAGATTATCCAAAATAGAGAACATTGCTAGAGGAAACACATTTTAAGTGGTTTGCTATAATATGTCTAAACTTTGGAGACTCTCCTGGAGATGCTCTAAGAGCTTGTGTAGAGATTTGCTAGCTGGAGCATGGGTGATTTTTGTTTTCTTTTATGTCAGAAAGTGACAGAAATTGTGTGGTCAAAGGTAGTCCTTGGACTTTTGAGAATGCTCCTTTGATCTTGGGTGAAACTGATGGTTTAGAAGACCCCATCGAGTTCCCCTCACTACACAACCTTTTCGGGTTAGAGTGAAGGGTGTCCCTTTAGCATATATGGAGAGGAGTACTGGGCAACTCATTGGTGATATCTTGGGGAGGTTTATTGAGATTGATTTTGAGAGAGGAGTTACTTGTTTGGGAAGTTTTCTAAGAATTAAGGTTATTATTGATGTTACTCAACCCCTGAAATGATGTTTGCATTTTGCTTTCCCAGAGGTTAGGAGTCGTCTTATTTTGATTAAATATGAAAGCTTACAAATTATTGTTATATGTGTGGCATTTGTGATAATGTTCTGAATCAGTGTTCGCTTCGGGATTTTGTTATTAACCATGGGATTTCAAACCCTTTGGTTCATGGATCAGAGCAAAGGTCAAAGAATGGTTAAATGAACCTGAGATGAAACCACCAAGACCACTAAAGCCGAGATGGGTGATGAAAGCACTAAGCTCAGACGAGCTAGGCCTTGCTGACGAAGTCCAGCGCCGGGAAGAGGATGAAGATGAAGGAGATAAGTTACGGCAAGGCACCATTAATGAGAATAATGGCTCTATTATGGCTGGCCATCATAAGAGGTGTAAATTATGTAATGAGGCCATTCAAGGAGATTTAAATCATGAGCTGATTTTGGGGAATGATTCTTTGGCATTTAACTCGCTTGTAACTGTTGAGAAAGGAAAGAATACCATTGACAATGGTGGTGTTTTCTCTCCCTCAGTTATTGGAATTAAAAACTATCATGTCACGACCCGATTCAAAAATATGGAATATTCTCGGATCATGGTGTGAATCATACCATAGTCATAAGAATAAAATCATATGACCATGATATGAGGAGAAATAGAGCCACAAATATTACAAATTTACTTAACATCACAGAATCAGAGTCGCAGTAGCTCGTTGTTAAATACACACTAAGATCTTTAACAAACGGTTGACTACTTACAAATATTAGTTACACAAATCAACAACAAAAGACCTAGTAGCTTGGTTGAAACCCGCTTCCTCAAACTTCGCCTTGAATCCTGCAAAATCTATTAGGGTATGAGCATTCTAATGCCTAGTAAAGTATCGTCAAACCCCTCAAGGTCAGCTATCACAGTTAATCAAAGTGTCATGCATCAAACAACACAAGATATATAAATTATGCAATCATACCAGATAAATAAATTTGCATATGCGGTGATGCCATGAACTCACTCCCTTCTAATCCCACTAATTCATACCTTAGGGCAACAAGCCCGCATGTCCCATACCATGTGTTTTACCACTGTGGCTCCGAATACCCTAAAATATGAACTAGTGTCCATCCGTCCCTTAACCCATTTTTCTTTTATTTACGAATTTCTCAACTTTCACTTTTCATTAGAGGCCCTGCTCCCATCACCTCAATATATTCAAGCTCTGCTCCCGTCACCTGAATATATTCCACATTTAATTTACTTAGATATATCTAAGGCCTTCTCCCACCCCTTAGATATACCTCAAACGACACACACACACCCCAAACACCACTGTCTTTATGATGCATATGTAATGTAATGCAAACATCATTTATCTCTGCAGAATAATAATACAAATAATAACAATAATATATATCAGGCTTAATCACATGCATAATAATATTCACTCAACATCAAATAATATCCACGTAGAAAGATCAATAATAATATTCACATAACATTAAATAATATCCACCGAGCAAAGCAACAATAATATTCATATTTGTAGTACTATGTATAAGCACCAAGATTAACAGTGACATAGCCCAATCATTGGGAAATCAGGCAACCCTACCTCAAGTCCAGCTAGCTTAACCTTGTGTGGTTTCGTCCTCGAAAGTACGCAGAGTAGAACACCTAGTTAAGAAAACAAATTTGAGTGTCCTACTAGCGCACGTAGACCTAAAACCCCATAATACACTTGACAAGTTGTTTGACCCGATTGTTACTCCCTTAACCTCACATCCAAGCAAGCTTAAAACTAAGCATCAAGCAAAAACTAATCTATTCCCCTCCTGTATTAGTTCTAATCTTTGGGATGTTTAAAATCAGGTGGTTCGGCTTTAGACTCATAAAGAAAATTTAAAACATCAATTTAAAACAAAATTTTCAGTTTTGCTAAACAATTGGGTTGGAACACTTTAACTTTGAAAATTCACTAAATATTGAGTTTAAATCAAAATAATGTAAAAATTTCCAGATCACAATTAGACATAGAAACATTAAAGATGTCAAAATTTGATAAAAATTAGGATTAAGGAAGCATGTCAAAATAGAAACAAAAACAGACTAGGCTGCATAACGTTCTTATTTGCATGAATTATGCTCTCTAAAGCCATCATTATTACCTAAAGCTCAATGAACTGAAAGATAAACACAAAAAGGATTAAAAGCACAAGTTTAACTCAAAAACATAACCAAATCATAAGTTAAAAGGGTACAAAATGATATGTAATTTATGCACCGATCAGGTATGTAGCAGAATCAAAACAATTCCGGTAGGATAGTCTCTACTTTGAAATTTCACAAAAATCAATTTAAATTCAAATGACACAAAACCAAATTTGAAATAACCCTTGATATATTCATTTTGATATAACAAAATTCCAAAATGAAATTGGAACAAAATCACATCGAAATAATCTAAAACTTCATAAAAACACACTTCAAAAGATATATATATATCCTTGAGGCAATCTAACCAACACTTGGTTTATAACTAGTACTCAAAGAGACAATAAAAAGATGAGCTTCATGCCTTTAAAGAATCATTTACTCAATAGTGGCTAATTTGATCAATTGAATGATAAGGAACAAGCCATTTGAGAGAAAGTACACATCTATAACAAGAAATTCAACAAAATCAATTGAACAAGTTTTGTTCATACCAATTTTCAGAGAGTTAAAATGGGTTTGGATGATCTTTGGATATGTTATAAAGAGGAGAATTTAGAGTAACTATCATGAAGAGACTATAGTGTTTTGAGTTTTTGAAATGAGTGTTTTGGACTGAAAACGAGGGAAGGAACTAGGGTTGAAGACTACAAACAAGTTCCACTCTAAACATTCCCAAGGTGGCTATAGAAGTTTGATCAATCTAAAATTTTGATATGTTATAATAGACAGAATTTCAAACAACGTTAATGAAGGAACCAAAGTCATTTGAGTACAGGAAATCACAGAAACATATTGAAACCGAGCATACTGCTGTGAAATCAGGAAATGGTAAACTTATTGTGATCATACCAACGTTTCAGAGCCTATACTAGTCGGATTGAGCTGCAATTTGAGTATGTTATAGGAATCACGTAAATGAACAACTTTTATGAACAAAGTTTTCTCATTTGAACTTCCGAAATTTGAGTTCTCGGCTGCTCCAAGGAAGTGACGAATTTTGGATTTTGAAGAGGAACAAAAGAAGAATAAGGATGAAAATAAGGTGAATGAGGAAGAAATGGATGATACAATGAATGATGAGGATAAGAGTAAATTAATGATTGAAGAGCCTTAGGCTAGGTGAGTCATCAAGTTATAAGAGAGTGATGATACAATGAATGGGAAGGAAGAGAATAATTTCATGATTTAAGAATCTTAATTAGGCTAGGTGACTCACCATTTTAGACTAGGTGACTCATCCTTTCTTACATGGTGGATATGAAAGCTTGAGGCAAGGGGGGGAAGAATGGGAGGAGGGTGGTTTGATGTCCTCCACGATTCACTTTTTTCTTTGCCTACAAGGTGTTTTGGTAATTATCCACACATAGGGGTATTTTGGTCATGTTTGTCCAACTTGAAATTAAACACACTTAATTTAATAATCTCAATCCAAAATCACTTGATAAAATACCCATAATCATTCTCCACCATTATATTATTTTTCACTAAAATATGAAAATCCACCTTGAATTTTTCGGGGTATTACATATCATAATTCCATTATTTTGGGCCCAGCCCATCCTCTCTTAAAAAAGGGGTTTTCAAGTGAAGCAAGTTAGTGGGCCGACTAAAAGTATTAACCCAAAACAAGGTGGATGACGAGGCCTATCTTTGAAGGCTAAGGCTCGAGCAACCTAACCGATATCTCAGGCCTTTGGTTTCACATGTTGAAATTCATGCTCCTGCCACAACTTTTCGGAATAGGCGTTTTCATTTTGAAGCCATGTGGGCTAATAAAGAGGAATGTCGTAATACTATTCTTGAGGCTTGGGGTGAAGCTTCTTGTCAGTCTCTACCTCTCACAAACAAGTTTTTACTATGCGCACAACGACTTAATTCTTGGAGCCAACAACAATTTGGATTTCTTCTAAAACATATTCATCATTGTTAGCTCCAAAATCTTGACCTGGATGAACCCAATTTTGACCCGACCAGGAAGCATGCCTTATCAGGCAAACTCGATGATCTACTTGAGAAATAGGAGATTTTTTGGAAACAAAGGTCTCGAGTTCAATGGCTTCGGGATGGTGACTGGAATACACGTTATTTTCATGAAAAAACTCATTAAAGAGGAAGGAAAAACATAATTTCTGGGGTCTGATGACAACAAATGCTGGTTTGATGAATGCCCGTGGATGTAGCTAATATTATGGATGTTGTTGAAACTAAGGTAACGTCTGCGATGAATACCCATCTTACTCGCCCTTTTGATTTGTCAGAAATTAGTCACACACTTTCCCAAATGGGACCTTTGAAAGCCCTTCGTTTAGATGGCTTGTCTGCTTTTTTTGTTTTTTTTCCAAAAATACTGGGATGTTATTGGGGAAGATATTGCTTTTATTTGTTTGTAGATCTTGAATAATGGCGAGAGTATTAAGGAGTTTAACCATATGTTGGTGGCACTGATTTCGAAGATAAAGAATGCAAAGAATGTGAAGGATTTCCAACCTATAAGTCTATGTAACGGCGTCTACAAAATTATTGCAAAGACTAGCTAACCATTTGAATATCATTTTGCTTAATAATGTCATTAATAATGTCACTCTTGCTTTTGAGCTTATGCATTCAGTCAAAAAAATTAAGGAGCCAAAAGTTGTTGTGAAGCGTGATGTCCGTAAGCCATATGATCAAGTTAAGTGGAATTTCCTTTGAAAAATTATGGAAAAGCTTGGCCAAGTTTTCTCCCCATGAGATAGAATCCCAAGTCTACGCCCAAGTTTTCTCCCCAAGAGATAGAGATAGAGTTTTATTTAAAAACCAAAAAGAAAGAAACGGTTAGGATGGAGCCATTCTCTAGAACATAGGGAAAGAGGAGAGAGCACAGAGAGTATAGAGGGAGATTGGGTAGAGGGGAGATAGGGAATGGGGGAGATGAGGGGGAAGGGGAGAAGAGATGACGCCGTAGTTTTCTTTTTCTTTTTTTTTCTTTTCTAAAAAACTTATTTCTATTTTTTTTAACTATCAAAAGTCCTATTTACCCTTAAAAATATAGCATGTGCTGCTCACATGACTAAATTTAACAGAAAAATGTAACAGTAGAATCAATGTGACGATTAATAAAGAGTTGGTGGATCATTTGAACAAATAATTTAGTTGAGGGACCAAAATGTAACTTGGGTATAAATTTATGGACCATTTGAGTAAATAACCCTTTAAGAGGTGAGTGTTGGTTTCTAGTTTTGCTTTTGTTTTAGAAATACCCAATTCATCATCTCCTTCTTTTTTCATTGCCAGGTTTTGTTGTTGGGTTTGAGAATTTGTTTTTATGTTGTTTTGGTTGGATTGGAAAGACAGAAATTGGAAGAGGAGAGATGAGGGAGGGTGGCTGGGCTTGGGGTTAGTGGTGTAAAGAGAGAGAATGGTGGGTGCCAGCCTTGGCCTAGGGGGACCAGGCCTATAGCCCGGGGCCCAAAGATGAGAGGGGCACTCAATTTTTTATATAGCTCATATATGTGTATATTAAAAGTAAAAAAAACCAAACCATCAAAACTAGAAGGACACGTTCGTGTAATTATGTTGGCATGTCAGCACAGATCACTTTTTGATACTCTCAAGGAAACTTCCTCACTTGTTGTTATATTATATAATTTAACAAAAGAAAAAAAAAACAAAATATAGGGAAATTAAACAAAACACGAGAATACTACTGTTGAGGCCCAAGGATATTTCAAGCCCAATATAACATATAATGTTGGTCATGCGTTAATCCAAACTGTATTTTGGGAATTAATTTATTAAAGAAATATAGAATTAGTGTACATGCCATGCCAAGCTAATAATACATTTTCCTATGCTAAACCACCCGACAAGCTTAAGTAGGCCTAAGCCACATACATGCCTGGAGCTTGTTGAGTAGGTTGTGGTATGGATAGTTACAAGGATCAATGAGGCCCATCAAAAGGTTCAAGAAATGGAGGTTTTGAGATGCTTGGGAGCATCAAAACCCAAGCCCATTTCTATTGAGCCTATTGAGTGGGTAAGCAGAGAGCGTGTCTTCCTCAACATTTATGACCCAATCTCCAATTTTATACCTTACAGCACCAAAACTATGGTCAGATTTACTGCCAGTCTTACTTCAGCAATTACTACCCAACCCCCAACTGCCCATCACTAAAACCTCAGTTATAAACTGATTTACTGTATCACCAACCTAAGGCCCCTCATTCATTAACTGCTTGAGCTTCAACAGCTATAAAAGGAAGCAGTGGTTTACCTAGAAGGGAGAGCCAACCAAGACACAGCGGGCAAGCCATACACCCACTGTTCGAAACACTCAAGCCTAACATCAGAAACCATCCTCTCCTTTTTCCAGAAACCATCCTCTCCTTTTTCCAGATCCATCCTATACCTTTTTCATAGAAATCAGAAACCATTCCAAGCCCTAAAATAGCCTTCATCCTAAACCATGTTTCAACTCAAGCAGACGCTCTTGCTAAACTCATGAAGAGTTAGCTCCCATGCCACAAGCCACTCAGGCCAAACCAAAATCTCAGTTCACAACAATCATTTCTACTTGGTGAGAAAAACCAGAGTATTCCCTAAGAATCAGCATTCTTTCGGAGTATTTTGGGCCTATTTCTTGAACACATGCAAATTGGCAACTTCACTCTCTCTTTACAGCGGCCCAAGTTCACCTAGACCTGCTGGAACAAAAGGGCCCCCACAACTACATGTAAACAAATTTTTATTTTTATTTTTTGTGATTCTCTTCTTCTCCGACATTGAGTTGGAAAAAAAAATCCTCCACAAGACCAAACCAATGCCTTTCTTTCAAGGTTTTTTTTTTCTTTCTCATAAGATCTTTCAAGATTCTTTCTTTTTTATAGATAGATATAGAACTTTTTCAAAGTGTAAGAGGATATTTGATTAACTATTTTGTTAAAAAGACTAATGTTTCACTTGAAAATTTACCAAATGCATCTGAACAACCAATCCAATATGATCTAGTAATGCAACACCATTTTCAACTCGTTCAAGATAAAGAACATTCATTATCATTATCTTAGCCATAAAATTCCAAATGAGTTGATAACTATTTTAGCATCAAATGTTAAACATGGAATCTTGAAAAAAATAAAAAACGGCAAAGTATTTTTTTAATCATTCTTCATTTTACTCGCAAAGAACAAATGACTTTAATATTGAGGTGTGGTTATCCCATTAGCTTTTTCCCAAACAAGGTTTTAATGAGGCCTCAAAATGTTCTTTATCTTTTGTAAACTCTTCTAACTTTAATAAAATTAATTAGTTGATAAAATTTTTATACTTTTAGTGTTTAATTTGTCTACAGGGGCACATTTTAGAAATTTGCCCAGGGCCTTAGAAAACCCAGGACCGGCCCTAGTGTCTTGAGAAGTTTTGGGTGGGAGAGGTGGTTGGGCAAGATGGTGTGTTATGGTGGCTATGGAGGATGGGATTGCCGAGAGAGAGAGAGAGAGAGAGAGAGAGGCTGCCAGATTCCGACGAAGTGAGGGAGGAGAGGGAGAAGGGATATAAGTTTTTATTTTTATTTTTATATCAATCCAAATTTTTATTTTTTAATATTTGATTACACTTTAGCTAAAAAAGTGGAGTCCGCATTTACCACGTCATCACTTAACAGAAGACCAAACAGTCAAACTAACATAAACGTGTAAATTGATCGAATTTTAAAACGTTAGGGCGTAAATTGACAAAATTGAAACCCCTTGACCCATTTCAAGAATGACCCAAACATTCAGGCCTCGTTTGGTAGGCTGGACTGGACTGAATATTTTCAATTAAAATGGACATGAGTCCTAGCTATTGTTTGGTGAGCTTAAAGTGTGTCTAGGACTGGATATGGGCCTTGGATCCAAGTCCCAAATAACTGGGGCTTAGAAACCCAACCCCATATGTGGGTTTCAAAGCCAGAGAGCACGACTCCAACCATCTCTCTTCTTCCTCTCTCTCTCTCTCTCTCTCTCTCTCTCCTCCCCTATTTTCTTCTCATCTCTTGTTCTCTTTCTTCTCTGTACTCTCTTCTCTCTCTTCTCTCACTTCTCGGTTCTCTCTTCTTCTTCTCTCTCTCTCTTCCCCTCTTCTCTTCTCCTCTTCTCTCTTATCTTAGATCCTCTCTCTCTTCCCCTCTGCCATATCTTTTCCGCTATCATATCTAGACCTCAGATCTTGGACGAAAGGCATATGGTGGAAGAAAAAATTTGGTGAAAGGCAGATTCATAACTTCTTCCTCTTTATTTATATATATTTTTAATTTTGCAATTTTTGTGCCTATTTTTTTTCTTCTTTGAGATATGAAGGGAGGTAGCTGAGAAGAAGAAGTCTGAAGATGACGACTTATATTCTTTTTTTTTTTGTTGGATTGAAAATTGACTTTGTTGTAATTAATTTGGAAATGAGAATATATATATATATATATATAAAAGGCATGCTAATCTCAACTTTGGTGTTGTATTGCACCAAACAACTTCCTAAAATCCAGTTATATCCCAATCAGTCCAGTGTAATGTAGAAAGATTAATCCAATCCAATCCAATCTAGCCTACCAAATAGGAACAAACAATCGAGACTCATCACTGTCAAAGTTAATATACCAAAAAAAAAACAACACACTTAATATAATATTCCATATAAATTTATGATGTTTTAACCATCCCATTGCTAAACTGACCTTGAATTGTAAAAATCGTCGTAACCCATCTTTTGTAGATGAAGAGCAACCTTGGGGAGTCTCCACGGTGTGTATATACAATAACAGAAGCTTGCAAGCAAGGACTTGTTTTACTACCATGAAAATTAAAGCTTACTATTGTTACTAAACAGAGGAAATTAAGTTACTAATTATAATTTTAAAAAGGTTAATTACTCACTTGGCATGAACCATGGCATCGTGACATAAGCTACTGTCCCAACCATTGCTAAGTCTCTTCCACGTGGGTTACCATATCGTTCTTGGCAGCTCCTTTAATTGAAAATTTAAAAAATTAAATGAGCTTGGCTATATCACGACCAGTGATATATGTGAGATACCCTTATAAACATTAAGTGAAGAGAAAAATGAGTATGTGTGGATTCAAGGGTCGAATCAGGAATTTTATAATGGGTGAGCTAGTTAAAGTTACTAGCTTAAAATCTAATAATTATTATTTTTTGGTACTTACATTTTCTATAGTCTTTTTAGAAACAAAGGCGAACATTAAATCATATAAACCGCGCTAGTTCATAACTCCATTGACTGATTTTCAATAAGCTTTAACATAAACCAAATAGGGTTTAGCACCATCGTGGCTTTGTACTTGTTTATGTTCCTCTTATCAATAAAATACTATTGCTCATTATCAAAAACAAAAAACAAATACATATTAACTGCAACTGAAAAACACATATGATCAAAATGAAAATATGTTCAACAACACAATTGAAAGTGAACCTATTTTAATGTGTATTTTTATTGCTGCCCTCCAATTAAATTTATAATGAATTGGACTTTTTCGGACTTTAATAAGTTAATATATACTGAGCTAATATTGAAAACAAATTAAATATATAGGTTTTATTATTTTTCCCCAAAAAAACCTCACTGTGCTACAGTGTGTAGCCCTTAGTGTGGTTCCGCCCATGTCTGAACTGAACATTTAGTAGCTGCTATATATACTCTAGCTCTCTTGTCCTTGAATATTGATCACTTTGTTTCAATTGAGACTAACTAGTGTATATACGTACAAATTGCTTAGATTTCATAATTAATTATCACTAGTACATTTGTTTTGTATAGTAAATTTGTTTGGTATATACATACAAATTTCTTAGATCGTATACGCCAATAAAAAAAAGAGAGAGAAAAATACACATAATTTCAAGAACCCTGTATTCATACTTAATTATATTGGAGCTAATCTCATGGGTTCTTGCAAGAGGGATTTAGGGTTGGAATGGCTGTTGGTGTTGCTGGTTTTGTTCCAGACGAGAGAATATGGTTTTCGGGTGTTCTCCACAGGTTTTAAACCATGAGAGATTATATTTTGAATTTCCTCAACCAAATACAACGTAGGTGAGTAAAATTGAGAAGCACATATGTACCTTAAATAGCAGAGGCCCATCATTTATTATTTCTCTTAGCTAGCAACATTGGGTTTTGTTTGAATGTTCTTGGGGCTCACAGTTCGTACTTATCCCCTAGCCCTTATACATGAGGCAGAATAATATTTTTCTGGATTTAATTTTGGTTTATACTTGGAAATGGTAACTTATTTGGAAGATTCACTATTATACCCAATATATGAGCCTAAATTATAAAAAAAAACTCTATATGAAATGAACTTTAGAAACACACCCACAATCCATTTACAACATAATAAAAAGACTTTTAACTTCTTTTAAATTACAAAACTGTCATTGATTTCTTAAAACAAACCCAACTCCAAAACCTCATAAAAAAGCCCAAAATACTCAATAGGGTATCAAAGTAATTTAATAGTCAAAATTAAATTCAATAGGGTCAGCTGTCATTTTTGAGGTGTTTTTTGAGTTTGTTTATAAAAATTAAATAATATAGGATTTATTTATAGTTTTAGTGCTAAGAATGAGTATATGACTAAATATCTCTAATTTTTAGAGAAATAAAAAAAATAAATATATCAAAATGATACTAGCCTCTCTGCATGCACTTCCATACAAAAGGCTTTTTTTATTCATACCAGCAACTTAAAAAGTTAATATTTAATTTTACAATTGTAATTTTTTGTATGTTTGTCGTATCGTTCATACAAGAGGCTTTTTTTTTAAATTCTTGAACGCGACTTACAAAGTTAATATTTAATTTTACAATTGTAGTTTTTTAGATGTCTATTGTAAGAGTTTTATTTTATTTTTACAATTATATTATGCTAAATGCCTGTCTCAACAATTTATACGCGCGATTAAAAGAATGAAATTATCTAGGCACAATTATTGTTATTAAATAAATAAGTTTCGGGCTTCTTTTTTACGTGGAAATTTTATGAAATTTGTTTTGACCCTGTTCAAATTGAACAAAGAAAAGAAAAAAGATGCCAAAATCCTCTGCTCCCCATCACTGAATCTAATTATCACTCTACATGAATGTCCAAAATCTTAGAACTACTGGTAGCCTTAGGAATAGAAACATACAAGACCCCATCTTTAACCTCAGCCTTAATCTTCTCAAACTGAATATTCTCAGGCAAAGCAATTCTACTGTTGTACCTCCCATAGCTCTTAGCAGACCACTCATCAGCACCATTATCTTCTTCTTCTTCCACCCCATTTTCCTTCTTCTTGGTCACCTTCTCTGCCTTCACAACCAGCATTTTCTCCTCAACCCAAACCTTGACGTCCTCTTTGGTCATCCCAGGCATGTCAAATCTCATCTTGTAATCAGCCTCACCTTCTTTGATCTCCCATGGGGTCCTTCCCCTGCTGTAGCCACCTGTCTCCGTCGGCAATGGGGATGCCCAGCCCGACCCGCCCGAGTAGGCAAACGGGTCGTCCATCATCCTCTCCATGGTCTCCATCATCTGCTGCACTGTCCTTGCCGTCGGAAACCGGTCCCACAACCCTGCAAAAATTCAATGGCTTTTGTTTATTTTTCAATATCAAATTAAAGATTCTAACTTTAACGTTGGATTTTCAAATTTGGTAAGTGGGTGATTAATTTACCTACAGGTGGTGCTGGGGCGACTCTCTTTTTGGGCTGGGGTGGTTGTTGTTGTTGGTGCTTGGTGGTGGCCCTCTGCAAGTGGTCAAGGTTGTCCCTTGCATCTCTTGCCATGGCCCTGAGGCTGTTCTTAACTGGTTTTGAGAAAACAGGGGATGGGCAATTTTTGGTCCTCCAACCAGATGACATTGGAAGAAAAATGCTCAAATTCGATACGGCCTGAGACATTTTTTTGTGTCTCTCTCAAGATTTGGGGTTTGTGTTTATTGGTCAAGTGAAGTGAGGTTGTGAGCTTTGATCAGTTGGAAAATTATTGGCTTTGTTTGGTTGGGTTTGGCAGGCAAGAAAATGTTAACAGAAAGTGAGGGAGTAATTCGATACGGCCTGAGACATTTTTTTGTGTCTCTCTCAAGAGTTGGGGTTTGTGTTTATTGGTCAAGTGAAGTGAGGTTGTGAGCTTTGATCAGTTGGAAAATTATTGGCGTTGTTGGGTTGGGTTTGGCAGGCAAGAAAATGTTAACAGAAAGTGAGGGAGTTCTTGATTTGATTGAGTAGGGAGACTGGAGTTCCCAATATTTGAAGGAGATAATGGACACTTCTGGAAGACGAATAGAAGGGTGAAGACAAATTCGGTCGGACAGTTCTGGAGAACTCGAGAAAAATTTCCCTGGATAAGCCTAAGGAAAATTCAAGAAACATACCTTGACTTCTCACAATTGGACCTTATCATTGTGGGGCCATATTTTAATCTAATGGGCTTGGGATATTGGGCTCATGAAAGTTTCTTTATTTTTTGGTCTTTGGCAGCCCAAAATGTTTTTCTATATAAAGCCCCAATCTCTTTAGTACATCATTGATTCAATTTGGAAGCAAAAGAAGAAAATGGACTCTCTCATTCTCGCGCTTCTACTTTTCATACCCTTCGTATTCTTCTTTCTTCGCTTGCAGTTGCAGAAATGGAAAGGTATAACGTCACCGTCACAGCCACAGTCCGCCACCGTCCGTACTCCACCGTCACCGACAAGCCTTCCAATTATAGGCCACCTTCACCACCTCCTCCTCACAGAGGCTCCACCTTACCAATCCCTCGCCCACCTGGCCCAGAAACTGGGCCCCATCATCCACCTCCAACTCGGCCGAGTCCCCACGCTGGTCATCTCCTCGGCTGACCTGGCCAAGCTCGTCCTCAAAACCCACGATCACGTATTCGCGAGCCGACCGCAGCTCGCG